GATAGAAGGGTCCATGTGCTCACAAAGAGTCAGAGATGACTGAATGACAGAATCACAAACTTGTGACTTTCTTATTTGTGTACATGTTCTATCCCCATTATCAGATTGTAAAGTCCTTTTGAGGTCCTTAAAATAGTGGGCTATTTGTAGTAAAGATTAAATAATTAATCAATTGTTGAAATGCAAAGTAAATCACTGTTATTCATTCCTTTTCATATGACTATCAAGACACCAAAAGTCATGAGTTGATTGTCCATCAAATTTTGAGTACATTGGTCATTTTTTAGGGCTATGATTCATGGTTAGACAGTGAGGCAATAGAGTAATTTTAACTTTAGTGTCACTGCTAATCTTTTCTGGATTGTGGATGCAGTCCAAGCGCACACCAATATTTTGAGTTACAGAGAATGACAGCCTCCAAATGCATGCATATGACACTTAGGATAAAATGCATCAAATTTTGGCCTCATAGCCGCATGCAACAAATAGAGAGCCTTGTCTTTGCCTCAGAATTTAGTTAGCAAGTCTCTGGTTAACAAGCTGGGTTGTAGTAATAGTAAACTGGTTTCCAGGGCAATCTGTACAATAACAGGCACTTCAATTGTACTTGGTTGTTACTGTCTGTGTTTTTTTATTAATAGGAAATCTCTAGGGGTTCTTGAGTATATGTAGTAAAAAAAAAAAAACTTGAAGTTCTAAGAAAAAAATCAGATTTGAGTTCAAATTCTACCAAAGAAATTTACCGGCAGTGTAATCTGTAAAATAGTCATAATAATAGCATGTACATCATAGTTATTTTGATAAAAAGTGTTAATATATGTAAAACTTTTGCAAATCTTAAATTGCTATATAAAGATTATAAATTATATTGTTATTTTTATTGTTATTATTATTACTATTTACCTCAGATTGATGAGTATATGTTTAGCATATCTAGTGCCCTCACCTCATATATACAGAAATATATACACACATACATAAACATGCACATTCACATACACAACTACATATAGGTATATGGACAAGGTGGTTGTTGTTGTTGTTATTGTTGTTTTCTAGCCAACTCAAAAGTGAGGAAACTCCTTTCCATTTAGGTTGAAACTTTCTCTGAAAGTTAAGGGCTTACCAGACTTGCCCAGAACACCAAAAGAAAACCAGTATGTTTCAGAGGTAGGATTTAAACACATGTTCATCTGTATAAGTCCTTATGTAATTTCTTCTGGATGTTACATGGTTCTGAATTGTCATTATAAACCCCTCTGTTTCTACAAACTAATCTATATGGCTTATTCACTTGATCAATTGTTCTTTTGCTTGGTATTTGATTTATAAAGAGTTTATTTCATTTATTTATTGCATTTTCACTGTTTCATAGGCCCTATCCAGAAAGAAAGCACTTTGGGTCAAGGTGAGCAAAGCCAAAGGTGTATACCAGCTAACCATCCACTAGTATAACTTAGTGAAGTGATGTCTACTTGTTCTTGAATTCTAATTTTTGCAGGTTTTTAATCAGTTTATCACTTGCTCTCAGACTCTATCAATCCTCCTCCTCCTTTTCGCCAAGGAATTGTTCGTCTTTCTATGAATGTCATAGAGTGAAGTTTCCCATGTTGTATTAAAGTCATGTGAGTTTTTATTAGGATACTTTCTTAAAGCCGTTATGGTCAATTTTTCAGTTTCAGTAATGTACACTCAGATTGGTAGTGCATGAATGTTAATTGATTTAGGAGATGACTGTGGTTTTCATTCTTATATTGAGTCATTTTAGGAGAGAGGGGGTCAAGGCTCTAGAAAATTTTCCCTTAAAAAGTGGTACAGACAGCCCAAGAGTCAAAGAGGTGGCAGAGAATCCAGGCTAGGAATGTAATTAAAGAAATTAGAAATTTGGTAAAAACAAATTAAGGAACAGAAATAAATACACCAAAATTGGAAATGAAAAAGAGAAGATCATAACAAATGTAATTGAAAGCAATAAAATTAACATAGAATGCTATTCAGGGCTATAGGATAATTAATTTTAGAACTCAAAGAAAATGTCTGAATATACAGTGGGGGATATAAAGTAACCCCAAAAGGGAAGGGAAATGCTCCTTGTTAAAGAGTATTGTTTTATAGCTGTTATGATAAAATGTCCCTTAATGTAGTATTGTTGATTTTTCTCTTGTATTTAACAAAAATAAGTTATAATTCCACTTCCAACAAAATAATCCAACTGGTTTTTTTTCCGACCAAATTGTATCCTAGAAAAAATATAATCATCAGATAACATTGTTTTACAGCCTGATCATGAAGATGATCATTCTTATAAAAATATTCAGGGAGTTATCTAATTTTCCCCAAATCCTCTCACTTATAGAGATTACACACACACACACACACACACACACACACACACACACACAGAGAAATGTGTATGTGTACATATACACAATATGTGTGTATGTATCTTCACACATTCCATGATAAGGAATTCCTGGAAACTCAGAACAGGAAAGGGAACTTTGGATGACATGGTGGTATAATGGGAATCAAATTGAGTTCCACTCCCAGATCCCCTGCTTGCTAGCTTGAAACCTTGGGCAAATCCCTTTAACCATTTGGACCTCAGGTCCCTAATTTGTAAAATAAAGAGATTGTACCAAATGATCTACAAGCTCTCTTCTTATTGGGAATCTCATGATATTTATAATTGCTAAATGATTGCTACATGTTTGTAATCTCAAACTGAAACTGCATATTTTGAAAGATATAAAATAGTATAAAGTAGTGTGTATATATATATATATATATAGACACACACACATTTATATATACACATATATATATATGAAATACATTCTGTATTCTCCTTAAGTATGTGCTTATCTGTGGTTGTTGAAAACAATTTTATGTTTAAAATTAAATAAACAAAATATTAAGCCTTACCTTGATAAGTTATCCTGATATTTGCTTAATACAATCATTTTTCAGCATACCTCTGGAATTTTTTGAGTTTTTTGGGTGCCAGTCTATAATTCACTCATCAAAATTAGCCTTTTTCATTTGACAGTAGTAAATTATGTCAGTACAGGTCTTCTCTTAGCATGCACTTTTAAAAAAATAATAACTGTATTTTTTTGTTCCTACCATGACATGATTCCCAAATTTGGTCCTCCCACTATATCCATTAGCTTCAAATGAATTTTGGTTAATTCCAAAGGTCAAATAAATCCAATCTCAAAAGGTGAAAGTTATTGAAAATATTTAAAGATTTTAAGATTGTTTTGTTAACTTAGAGAAGAACCCTAGGAATGTCACCTTTATCAGAATAAATGTATAGTATCCTTAAGGGGTTTAAAAGGGAAAAAAACTCATTTGAATGTAACATTCTTGGTATGTTTTTAAAAAGAGTCACTTCCTTTCATAACCATCTACATCACATCTTTGTTCTTAGCCATGTCCTATATTTATAACTATTGAAAGAAATGTTCACAATAAATGGAATCTGATGATTTGTCCATTTCTTTCCATGAAACTGGAAAACAAAGAAAATAATTGAAATATATTCTTTTCATCATCAAATGTAGGGCAAAATAAATTTGGCATCATATCCCTTCACACAATTCTACTCCATTAAGATTTGTGCTCACTGTGGAAACTCTCATAGGAATGTCTTGAAATCCTGAAATAGAAATCACACTTTTTTGGACAAGATTTTTCAAATTCCCTAACAAATAAAGTTTCCCTTAATTGTTATTCTGTGTGGACATTTCCCTAAAAGATGATATAAATCCTCCAAATCCTTGTAACTTAGTTCTTGTATAACCCCTCACACATTCTAGTAGGGTTCTTAGATCTATTTTGTCCACATTCCTATCTAGTCCATTTTCTATGACCATATCATATAAAGACACTTGGATTCAGTAAGAAACTCATTTCATTAAGACATGAAATAATACAAAGAATAGGAAGAGGAATGGAATGGTAAAAGTATCATGTGAATCACTGGAGAAATTAGTTCAATCTCCTAAACTTTCTCAGATTTGTGGTGTGTTAGAATTTGACACCTTCTAGGGTAACATATGGAAGGTGGGAGTCCTTGACTTCACAGTAGTTCCTGAGGCCCCCTCCAACTCTCAAATTCTGTGATATTGTGAAACTTTGGTTTCACTTAGCAAGTTTCATGTGGCAAGTTGGAAATTTGTGTAGTCTCCTGTCTTAGTTATGAAGTAAGATGGATTCTCCCATGACTGCTGGTTTTGTAGAAATGAATGAATTTCACTCTCTTCTCTCTCCTACTCTGATCACAACCACTAGCTTACCTATCTTCTTCTCTCTTGTTCCCATACTCTTGTTCTTACTCTTTTTTTCCTCTTCTGTTTCCTCATTTGAGCTCTCCAAGCTCTAAAACCCTGACTTTTAATTTTTTTTTCTTGTAGAGTGGACTACATCAAGAGCAATATTCATCTCATTCGAGAACTGTTATGAACACAAATGAATGACCTTCTGAGAAGAGTAGATATTATCCCCCCTAATAAGCAATATTTCTTGGAATCAATGAAGTATGGGAAATGAAGCATTAGAGACATTCTTGATCTCCCCTGTATGTTCTCCCTGGCTTAAAAATGTTGCAGCCCTGACAAATCTACCTAGGTGCATGAATGCATCTGAAGGTTCTTGTAAACATTCATTAATTTACATACAGCATATTCATAGGAAACTTATCCCAATTACTAACCAATATGAATCCAAAGAGTTGCATTGAAATAGATCAGACATTTGTTACATTACACATACTGATGTTACATACAAAGGACCCATAATTGCCCAATATCAATGCTCACCTGCTACATGTGTAAACTCTTTGGAAATTGACCTTAGGTCTGTCCAGTCACTGTCTGGACTGTTTTGTTATTTCTGTGCTGATTCCCTATTCCACCTTATTCTCTCTTTACCCTCCAGCCCACCGTTCTTCATACACAACTCTGAATCTCTGGATAACCCAGATCGACTTTGTAATATCATTTGTAATCTGAAACAACTTTTCTGCTCCACAGCTTTCTCATGGCATTTTTTACCTCTGCATTCCTCACTGTGTAGATAAATGGGTTTAGCATGGGGGTGATGAGAGTGAAAAATATAGTCACAGCTTTATCCATTGGGAAGGTGGTCACTGGTCGAAGATACATGAAAATGCATGGAAGAAAAAACAAGACGACAACAGTAATGTGGGAACTACAAGTTGAGAGAGCTTTGCTTCTCCCTGCAGAGCTGTAACTTTTCAGGGAGCACAGGATAATAACATAAGAGCACATCAACATAACAAAGCTAATCATGGAAATTAATCCTCCATTTGCAGCAACGAGCAGACCAACCATGAATGTGTCTGTGCAGGCAAGTTGGATCACAGGGACAATGTCGCACAAAAAGTGATCTATGACATTAGGTCCACAGAATGGGAGCCACAGTGTGATAAGGATTTGTCCTGTTGAATGAAGGAAGCCCACTGTCCAAGCCAATACCACAAGCAGACAACATAAATGATGATTCATTATAGTAGTGTAATGCAGGGGCTTGCAGATAGCCACATATCTGTCAAAGGCCATTACAATGAGGAGGACAATCTCAGAGGCACCCAAAACATGTTCAATAAATACTTGTGTCATGCACCCATTGAAAGAAATGATTTTCTTTTCACACAGTAAATCTGCAAGCATTTTGGGGACAATTGAAGATGAATAGCAGGCATCAATTAAGGACAAGAAAGAAAGAAAGAAATACATTGGAGAATTCAGAGTCTGGCTAGAGGTTATGGTGATCACAATGAGAACATTGCCCATCACAGTAATGATATAGGTGATTAAAAATATAACAAATAAGACTTTCTGCATCTCAGGATTCTTTATAAGACCTAAGAGGATGAATTCAGTCACATTGTTCCTGTCTTCCATGTCACTTTCGTACCAATGCAGAACAGGAGAGATAAATATCAGGTGGTTCTGAATGTAGATAGCTCCTAATAAGCCCAAACTTTCTACTTTGATCACTCCACTTTTTCCCCACTTTTTTTTTTATATCTGTATGGAGAAAACAAGATTGTATAGCTCACAGGGGACAGATTCAGGTTTTCTAATGGCAAATTCAGTCAATATCAATAACAGGTAGAATACTACATCATTCAGTAAGCCTGGTCATAACCCATTGAAACATCTACTTATTTCTTCTTCACCACACACAATATCTACTGCCACCATTGATTCTTCATTTATGAACAGATTTGGAGTCTGGTCTTCCCTATCACTTAATCTCTCCAGTGAGAGTAGTGCATAGGAAGAAAGAAATAGATAAGAAATATAAGAAAGTGTTGCCAAGGTGAACAGATTCCAAAGGAGTATTGAACCTTATGTTCCAGGATATTCAGAGTTGAAGTGGTAGATACCTAGATAATAGATAAGAGAAGAGGGGCAGAGATAGAGACAGACAGACAGAGACACAGATGGAGATAGAGAGGAGACAGACAGAGGGATGATAGGTAAGTGTAGATATTTAGAAGGAAAATGACAGATGATAGATAAGCAGATAGAAAGATAGATAGATAGAAAGATAGATAGATGATAGATAGATAGATAGATAGATAGATAGATAGATAGATAGATAAAAATAGATAAAGTATATAATGTAGGCCTGGGCTAACTCCTAGGGATATGAACTTGGGCAAGCAAGGAGGTCCCTACCCTCAGGCATCTTTTATTGTTATACAGAAAAAAAAAATTAAAAGGGGGATTTGAAATAAGCACACTAAGTCTGAAAGCATATTTTACCTTTGCCCAACCATTAAAGGCTTTCTTTTCTACCAACATGCCCACCTATTCCTTCATGAATATGACCAATACGGAAACTAGTGTTTAACTAGCATTAGAAGTGAGGAAATATATTATTTGGCAACCCTCAAAAATGTTTGTTTCAAGTAGAAATGTCACTCTTCCCACATTCTTGATAAGCTTAAGAAAGCAACAATAGAATGAGACCCAAGGGAAAGGGTGTGGTGTATCTGCTTATTGTTCAAAGTATGGCCCTCCAGAATGTGTGTATGCGAAATATAGCTTGTCACCAAGGGAGTGTGAGAAAAAACTTCCCAGAAATGAAAACAAATCCAAAGTGCAAATGAGCTACCTCAGGAGACAGCAGGTTCCCCTTCAGCAGATTTATGTAGGTAGATGATGGAGGAAGGATTGCCAGAGATGTTGTAGGAGGGATTCTTCTAAAAGCCTGGATTGGACTAGATGCCTTCTAAGGTCCCTTACAGCCATGAAAATTGGTGATATTGTGTCTAGACATGCATGTAAAGGCTACCTGGCATAATAGATATGGTACCATTTTAGGATTTAGGAAGAACTGAGTTCAAATCCCTTTGCTCATAATTACTAGTTGTGTGTAACCATGAGGAGTTAACCACTTATGGCTCTCTATTTTTTTAATGGAGATAACAATACCTGTAATACTTATGTGACAGGGTTACTGTAAAAGTGAAAAGAGATCAAGCAATCAATTAATTATCAAACATTTATTAAGTACTCTTTACTTGTTAATTGATCTTAGATGCCTCAGATACACAGATAACTTGAAATATCTTCTGATCTCAAAGACTCTATTACATAAGAGAAGACAAAATGTAGACAAATAAGTATATCTATCTATCTATCCATCTATGTAATTGGGATATGTAATCAGATTGAGGGGGGAGGGGCAATAGAAACAGCTATGAAAGGTAGAATACAAGATGATCACTGAAGGAAATTAGGGATTCTTACAGTAAGGGATAAAAAAAGAGTTTACATTCCAAGCATGAGGAACAGCCTATACAAAGACAAGAATTCAGGAAATAAAATGGCATAAGTAAGAAATAAAATAACATTTTGTTTAGGCAACAAAAATAGTGAAAGGGAGTAATGTATAACAAGGACTGAAAGACAGTTTGAGGCCTTGTTTCAAAAGTATGCAAAATAAAGAAGTCTATAGTTTATCCTCAAGTCAAAAGGAAGCCAGAAGAGGTGGTTGAGTAGGGAAATTATATGATCAAACCTGTAGTCTGAGAATGCAAGACAGGTAATGTATTTTACAAAATCTAAAGTATCAAAGACATTTTTAAAAACTGTGTTTGTGTGTGTGAGTGTGTGTGTTTCTGTGTGTGTGTGTGTGTGTGTAGCTGTGGCTTTCTTGATTTATGGAACTCCCTTACAGGCAAGTTCCTGCCTGGCACAAAAATTCCACCTACTAATTCAAACTAGAAGTTATTCTGCAGCTTGAATTGTTTCAGTGTTGTCTGAGGACAGAGAGGTTGAATGATTTTCAGAGTGTCACCCAGCCAGTATATGTTAGAAGTGGGACTTGGACCCAGGTCTTCCTGACAGCAAGCGTCATTCTATTCACTACCTCCAAGCCACAATAGGCAGACAGATAGATAGATATATGGATGATGGATAGATAGATAGATAGATAGATAGATAGATAGATAGATAGATAGACAGATAGATACATAGATAGATGATAGATGGATGGACGGATAGGCGGATAGATGGTAACTACAGAACTAGAGATAGAAACAAATGCAAAATATATTAACTCCCAACAAGCATAATACAATGTGCTAATAAAGACATTTTGTGTTTTCAGCACAAGCTTACAGGTGACCCTTGACAGTACCCTAAATAGCCACTATCCTACCTTCCCATAGTAATACAGACATATGTCTGCATATATTATATGTACATATAATACAGACACACACATATGTATATATGTATATGTATGCATATATGTGTATATATATTTATATAATATGAAAAGAAAGGGGGAAATTTTTAATTTAGAGAAAACAGAAGTATAGCTAGTCATCATTTGGCATATTTATTTTGAAAAATAAGAATACCCTATCCAAATTCTAGGTGCTTTGTAATAGACATTCATGTGATATTATAGCCATTCAGTACATTTTCCATCTCTTCCTTTGTTCTTGGGAAGTACTTAAGTACAGAAGTTAAAAGGATGGCTCTAGGCATTAATTAAGTTTTGCCTATTTATCACTCAGTCTCTAAGATGCTTCCCCTCAGCCCAAATGACAAAGAAAATTGGAAATAAGGAGTTAATAAACAGTTCCTATATATATATATATATATATATATATATATACTGGGAGAATGCTGTTGGTTTCATTATTTCTAAGCAAGTGGAAATTTGAAAAGGGTTCGCTGATTCAAAAGGGGTTAGCTAAATTGCCTAAATTAACAAACACTTCAGAAAAACAGGCATTCCCCCCAGAGTGATGAACCACTTTCCCCAAATCAAACAGCTAGCAATCAGGGATTGAAACCAGCTTCAGTTGTTTTTTCTTTTCTATTCTAATTTCCCCTCTCTGTGTTATGTTGAAGAACATGACAAAAAGAAGAAAAAATTAAAATATGCAAAAAAGTGAAAAATCTTGTATGTGAAGAGACAATAAGATGAGATACAATGGGAAGTGGGAAGTTTTCATCACTAATAGGAATGGTGTGGTGGAGATACTGTGTCTGAAGATAAAAGTTTAGGAATTAAATTATCAAATGCTATTTCTTAGAATTGGAATCAGATGACCCTTTCAGAATACATAAGGATAAATCTCTCTTTGTATCTTCGTGTGGTTACAAGCTGCTAACTAGCAATTGAATAGCTACACATGCTCCCTCACTTAGGAAGTGCCTTATAAGTCTTTGAAAGTGATGGTCATTAATATGATGATAAGGATGACTGAAACTCATCAAAGCTACCTAGTGTATTGTTGTGGATGCATAGACTAAAAATAAATGATTAGAAGAAGAAGCCTCTTCTGTCCCTGAGTTCTCACCTATGAGCCCTTTGTCCTTGGCTCGAAGGCTAGGTGGTCAGCTGAATGAGACATGAAGAAGAGAGACACTCTGGTCTGCATAGTGGGGCTGAATGGTTCATCTACAATAAATCCCTTCTGATTTATATGGCACCTTTAGAATATGTGTTCCCCTTGAGTCTTAGCCATTTTATCTTGTGTCATGTTTAAGAGTAAATTCTTTGAAGTATCTTCATCTTGAATAATGAGACCTCAGGAGTTTATTCCCCTAATTAGATAAACTTGCCAGTGACAGTTATATTTCTTATTACTTAAGTAAACACTGAAGAATGAATTTTAGAACTGCTAAAGTGTTGAGGGATTTATACTTATTTTGCATCCTTATGTCTCCATGAGGAAAGGCATCTTGACAAGCTGAGATATTGAGGACAACTGCCAACATTACTGTTGCAGGAGAATTGGGACGCCACAACCAGTAACAAGTTGTTAGCTTGTGGCTGCTACTCTAATTTCCTAACTGAAAGATCCAGACTAGGGATTTGCATATACCATGATGTCACCCTGGAATTAGCAAGGACTTCAAAGGATTTTAAAAAAAAAAAACAGGAAAAGGGGCAGCTAGATGTCTCAGTGTATAAAGTTCCAGCCTTGGAGTCAGGAGGAGCCGAGTTCAAATCTAGCCTCAGACACTTGACACTTACTAGCTGTGTGACCCTGGGCAAGTCACTTAACCCTGGTTGCCTCATCAAAACCAAAAAAAAAGTGAGAAATAAAATATCACAAAAAGTTTAAATCATATTGTAGGAACGGAATTAGAATGAAGCAAGAAAGATAGTTTTAACCAAAGACTGAGGAATTCTTCAGGCTACCCAGCAAGCACTGGCTTATGGTTTAAATCAGGGGTGAGAACCTGAAGTCTCCATGCCACATGTGGCCCTTTAGGTCCTCAAGTGTAGCTCTTTTCAGTCAAAGGGCCACACTTGAGGACCTAGAGAGCCATATGCGTCCTTGAGGCCTCAGGTTCCCCCCACCTTGGCAACCCTTTAAAGAGGAGATACTCCAGAGGACAGGTGCTAAAGTAATTTAAGAATC